GGGAAGGTCCAGGCAGAACTAGTCCAGTGGACTGTAGGAGAGCAACAGGAGCCTGTGTGTGGGGAAGTGAGGGCTGAGGCGGCTCCCTCCAGCCAGATCTGGAGAGGCAATCAACAGTTTCATCAGATTAAGAGCTCAGTGTCTTCCTGTGTCTCAACCTAGACTTCTGCATGGTCTGAGCACCTGCTAGTCGGCTGGGAGCCATGAGGGAAGCTGTGTCTCTCAAGAACACACTTTCCTGCTTTATAGGGGAAGCCCAGTAGGAATAGAAGTAGCTTATTAAGTGTCAAAGGATTGAACTACATCTACTCTGCTCTCTTGGAACATCCTGGGAGGCCCTTGCTGGCCCTGTACCTCTCTTTCAGAGAGTCAGTTAGTCCTAGGAAAAAGGAAAAAAAGTGCTAGGTAGAGATCACCATGCAGGTAAAGTAGATTTGACGAGGAGGGAAACTCCATCCCCAGGCTCTGATCACGGTCACGGTGAACGGCCCCTTGAGAAAGACCACGACAATTTCTAAGTGAGAGAAAGTATTGCTTTTGTTGGCGGGCGAGTTGTAAAAGTGAAGGTGCTTGCCCACCTGTTTCATTTTCTTCTGTAGACCTCACCAACAGCATTCCAGTGGCTCTCACGGAGATCAAAAGCAAAGACATGTTTAGCTGACCCTCTCCAAGCCACACTGGGCTCTTGTCCCAGTGATTTTCTTTCTAGGTCTTGTTCACAAGTATAGGTGTATGCCCTCCTGAAAACACCTTCTCTTATCTTCCAGAACACCATACTTCCCTGGTCTTCCTTCCCCTTGAATGTTCACTCTCTCTCAGTCCTATTTACTGGCTCCTCTTTATTCCAACCTGTACTCTTTTTATTCATCTGGACTCAGTATCTTTGTGACCTCAGCTAAGTTCTGTGGCTTTAAATACCGTTTAAAAAAAAAACAAAACAGGCATGGTTGCACACACCTGTAATCCCAGCAACTTAGGAGACTGAGGCAAGAGAATTGCAAGTTTGAGGTCAGCCTGCAGGATTTAGTGAGACCCTGACTTAAAATACAATGTAATTAATGGTTTGGAAGGCTAAGGCAGGAGGATCACAAGTTCAAAGCCAGCTTCAGCAACTTAGTAAGGCCCTAAGCAACTCAGCAAGGCCCTGTCTTTAAATGAAATATAAAAAAGGATTGAGGATGTAGCTCAGAGGTTAAGTGCCCCTGGGTTCAATCCTGGGTACCACAAAGATAGATAGATAGATAGATAGATAGATAGACAGACAGACAGACAGACTGACTAAATAAAGTGTAATAAAATGGAGACTGGAGATGTAACTCTGTGGTGGAGTGCCCAGGGTTCAAACCATGCACCACAATACATAAATAGATAAATAAATACCACTAAAAGCTGATAACTACCCAATTACACTTCCTGACCTCACTCTTCCCCTAAGTCCAAACACATTTTCCCACCTCTACTGGAATATCTAATTGTCACCTCAAACTTAACATATCCAAAACATGCCTTTTGGTCTTCTCCCACCAGTCTGCCCCTCCCTGAGTCCCCCCATCTCAGTGATGGTGCCCCTCACTCCATCACTCTGATCCCTCCCTTTGCACTCCACAGCCCCTCTAGCCGTCCTGTCAGTCATAGGCTCAAGACGCACCCTGCACCCAGGCCCTCTCACTGCCTCGCCGCCCTGTCCAGCCCACGGCCATTGTCACCTGGGCCTCCCCAGCGCCCTCCCAGCTAGTCTCCTTTGGGCTCCTTTGCCCCGCTCCTGCCCATCCATGCAGGTTTGAAGACTTACCTCAGACCTGCAACTCCTCTGCTCCATGGCTCACTGCCTTTCTTGGACTACCAGCTGCAGTCTGACCCACCATGACCTCACCCATGTCACCTCACCTGGGCTTCCTCTCTCCAGTCACATGCATCCCGTTATATCCCCATGGCAGGCAAGCCTATTCCTACTTCAGGACCCTCTTTCTGTCTGGGATGATCTTCCCTCAGACCTCCAAAAGGTTGGGACCTCACCTTATTCAGTAAAAATGTCACCTCCCTTGAGTGGCCCCTCCTTCCCAAACCATCTTGCTTTTTTTGGGGGGGTGGGGTGGGGTGGGAATTGAACCCAGGACCTCACACATGCTGGGCAAATGCTCTACTACGGAGCTCCCACCCAGCCCCCATCCTGCTTCTGAACATTGTCCCGCTACCCTGTCCTGTTGTTCTGTATGGCAACCATCTCTAAATGAAATTGTGTATCTGTTTGTTTATTCCTTTTATGTCTCCTTACCAAGAAAAGCAACTCCATGAGACCATCTTCTTCCATCTTCTCCAGCATTGTATTCTGGTGTCTGGCACCTGCTGTGTGCTCAGGAAATATATATATATTTTTTTCTTTTTTGAGGGGGGATGATTGGCAACCACTTTTTAAAAATTTTTTTCTTTGTTCTAATTAGTTATACATGAAAGTAGAATGCATTTTGATACATTCTACTGCTCAGCAAATATTTATTGAATTAATGAATTTGCTTCTTGTCAAATATTAAAAAATTACTCTTTGTCAGGCCAACTATACAATGTCACATTAGGATTTTTTTATATAAGGTAAATGTAATTTTCCCTTTCTACCCATGTAAGCACAACTATTTTAGTATGGGGGAGGCCCTTAATGACTATAGCTCCCCTCACCCATTTTAATATTGTCTTAGCTAATCTCAACATCAGGCTTCTGTTAGAGGTCATTTTGTGTTCACCATAGTCCTCCTTTGGGGGTGGGGGCCCCTGGCCCTTCATCCTGCAGGCCCAGCTGTTCTCGAGATGCCCTACAGGACTGGGATGCACATCCCTGGAATCCCTGGAACAGAGCAGAGAGAAAGGGGCTTAGGTTGAAGCTCTAGAGGATTCTCTTAGATCCCATTCATTAAACTCTCAGGCACTTCTTGAGCCTCTGATCTGTGTTAAAAACTGTGGTCATTCTGTGGCCCCGAAAGACACAAAATAGGTGTCACTGTCCTGTTCCAAGGAATTCACAGCCTAGTGGGAGATGAAAACATGCAAATGAATAAGGAGTCACACAGCAAGTACAGGTGGCCAGTAGAGAGGTCTCCTGGATCCCAAAAGGGAAAGGGACTGACCCTGCACAAGGGAACAGTGTGTGGGAACATGGGAACGTGTGGACACAAATGAGCCTTCCATGAGGTCAGAGCTCAGGGTATCTAGGAGGGAGCAAGGCAGGGCTTTGAGCAGCAGGAGGTAATGCGGAAAGGTAGGTGGAAAACGGGACCAGAGGGGTTCACTCTAGCTAGGGAATTGGAACTTTATGCCAAAGCTTTCATTAGAGCTCTGATTTGCTCATCATTTGTTTATTCATTCATTCTACCAATATATTTTGAGTACCTATTATATGCTAAGCATGGTGCTAGGCTCTGGGTGCACTATATTAAATAGTCATTTTCTTTACCGTTATGGAGTCAGTAATCCATGCAACCCAAAGGAAGAAAGTTGTGTGATAGTTCCTTCCCTGGAGAGCAATATGAAGAAAAACTATATGACGGCAAAAGAAATAATTCCTCAAGTGATAGGTATGAGGTATGTGTTTAAGCAAATCATGGTAATTCATATAATGGAATGTTATATAGACATTAAATTTTTGGGGGGAGGGTACTGGGGATTGAACTCAGGGGCACTTAACCACTGAGCCACATCCTCAGCCCCATTTTGTATTTTATTTAGAGACAGGGTCTCATTGAGTTGCTTAGCACCTCGCTTTGTGCTGAGGCTGGCTTTGAGCTCACGATCCTCCTGCCTCAGCCTCCTGAGCTGCTAGGATTACAGGCATGCACCACCATGCCTAGCTTTATATAGACATTAAAATGAGGTTTATGAGCATTAAAAAAAATTCATGTTCCCTTTTTTTTTTCTTTTGGTACTGGAGATTGAATCCAGGGTGTTCTACCACTGAACTACATCCCTAGTTCTTTTTATTTTTTATTTTGAAACAGATCTCACTTAGTTTCTTAGGCCCTTGCTAAGTTGCTGAGGCTAGCCTCAAACTCTTAATCCTCCTTCCTCAGTCTCCCAAGTCACTGGGATACAAGCGTGTGCCACCACATCCAGGTCCTTTAAAAATTTTTATTTTTTTATTTTGAGACAGGGTCTTGCCAAGTTGCCCAGGCTGCCTCGGTTTCCTGAGCCGCATCATGCGTACACCACCATGCCTCGATTTCATGTTCCTTGATAGCGTAGAAGAACTTTTTGATGTGCTTTCTGGAAAAAGCAGGGTAAAATCTATATGCAGTGGTATATCTCCATGAAGAAAAACAAGCTTAAAAAAGACTAAACGTACAATGTTGTTAGTTATGGCTGCCTCTCGGCAGAGCAGTTCTCTATTTAGATTTTTTTTCTGTTCCCCAAAATATAAGCACATATTTACTTTATCAGTATAACATTTATTGTAAAAGGAAAAAGATGACAAAACAATGAATGGAAGTGTGGGGGAGTGGGACAGATGCCTGTCCTCCGAGTTGGATCAGGCATAAGCGTCCTTGGAGGGGTCACCTAGTGGGAGGCCTTTGTGCCTTAGGGTAGCTCCTTTAGGAACCGTGGCTGGCTTCTCGTGCTCCTCCACGGAGGGACATCACGGCTGCCCCAGGGCGAGTCCTGTGCAGGACAGCTGTGCAGGACAGCTGTGCAGGACGGCCATGTGCAGCTGAAGGAGGCTTGGTCCGGTTAGCTGTTCTCCCCAAAGACCCTGTCCGGCATTGTGGCCTAGTACAAATTAGCCTGCCCTCCAGGGCGATCCTTTCCCTGGCTGTCCACCTCCCTGGAGGAGACTCTCCCAAGATGCTTTCAGAAAACAGGACGAACAGGAGGATCCTGGCTCTAGGGGCAGCCGGAACCCCTTTGCGAAATAAAGACACACTCACCTCAACCTCCTGTTCTTCCTCTAACAGTCACCTCTTCCAATCCTGCGAGCAGTGGATATACATGTATATAAATATTTTTGTCTCTTTCAGGAAATGATCGAAATGGCCTAGATTTCAACAGACAGGTAAGAACTTGATTTATCCTATATAAATTTGGGGGGTTTCAGGTATGGGGAATACAAAGACTAAGTAAGTTCACAGGAGAATATTTACAAACACTTAGCTTTCAGGATTAAGGGATCCTGAATCCAGCCCCCTGCATCAACCATAATCAGATATTAGGCTCTTCTCTTAGAATTCCCTCCAGAGTTCTGAACAGTGGAGCAGCCATTAGGGTGCATGCCACATGTAGTCCAGAAATCTAGGACAACAGTTCTTTCTGTCCAGGCTTGGCCTGATGGCCTCTTGGTGAGTCTGTTGGCGAGGGCTGACTACATGGAGAGGAATGTGTGGAGCTGCAAAGGACAGAACGCCTAGCTGTCCTGGGGGCACTCCTGATTGGGAGCAAGTGATAGGGACCATGATAGGGAAATAGAGAGCCCAGAGGGAGCACGTAACCAGGCTGGGGACAAAACAGACACTGCATGCTGCCTTGGAAGGCAACTAAGGTGGGTGAGCCTAAACCTAGTTAGAGAGAGCTCGGGGCAGGGGGAGGTGGTGTTGGAAACCTCACAGGGTGGATGGAGGTGGATGGAGGAGGAGAAGGGTGAAGCCAAAGCAGAAGATTTGCCCTGGGGGTTTCAGGCTACCGAGGAGCCTGGGTGGGGGGGACTAGGACCAGGTGTGGTGTCCCAGCAGAGGGTGGGAATGGAAAGAGTTTGCAGGGAGGAGAGAGTGTAAGCTGCTGCCAAGCAGAAAGCAGTAATGAGGGATCCCAGAGGGAGGAGGCGAGGATCAAGTACAGAGTCAGAAACCCTGGGCTTGGGTCCCATTTCTGCCACTAACTAGCTACATAACCTTGGCTTAATATTTTTTAGCCTGAGTTTTCTTGGCTGAAAAATTAATTTATTCCATCAATTACAGGAGAGGCACCTACGTTATTCCAGGTATGGGAATACAGAGAAAGATTAAGACATGGGTTCTATGCTGAAGGAGCCCAAAATCTAGCACTAGAAGAGGGTGGGCAAATATATGGGGAGAGGAAGCTGAGAGATTCTATTTCTTAAATTATAGATTCATTAAATTTTATTTAGTAATTTTTAGAAGTACGATTATTAACATCTTTAGGGTATAAATTGATGGGATTCACTGTGATGTTCTCGTACATGCATAAATCCTATATTCCTTATGTCCCTCCACCTCTCTGATAGCCTCTGCTCCTCCCCACTCTCCCTGTCCTCTTTCCCCTTCCCTCGTAGCCCCTCTTCTGCTTTCGGATCAATATTTTTTAAGTTTCCACATATGGGAGAGAACATGTACTGCTTGTATTTTTGTGTTTGGCTGATATAGCTTAACATGATGTCTTCCACTTCCATCCACTTTCCTACAAATGACCGGATTTCGTTCCTCTGTATGGTTAGTAATATTGCATTGTGAGAGACTTTTAGTGGCTAATTATAATATCATCATTTGTGTTACTCCACGGGTAAAAAGTCAAACAGAAGTGAGAAGAGTTAGTTCTTCCTGGGAGCTCAGGGTGGGCTTTGTGGAAGAGATGGTATCTGAAGATGGCTCTGAGGGCTGAGTAGGGAGGGATTTGTCAAGCATAGAAGAATGGCATGGAGAAGACAGAAAGAGGTAAGGGAAGACCATCGCAATGCAGGGATGCGTCAATCACTTGGGCTCCTTCCCTTTATGCTAG